TGTCTCTTTTTCTCTCTTTTATACCTACCACCAACTCTTATCTTTTAAATTATCTTCTCCTTCTTCTCCTCCTCCTACCGTCTCCTGATCATCATCTGGTTGAAGCTGGTCCCCGTACAGGGTCTTCTCTCGCTGTGTTTTTCTCTTCTTTGACTTTTTACTACTGAAATCTTGGTGATACGCAACCACACAATGATTCTCTCTCCTCGGCTTGTTCACCACGATTCGCTCTTTCTCTTTCCTTTAGTTTCCAGCAGGTGTTTTTGCTATTATCTTTCTCTCACACTGACTCGCTCCCTCTTTTTTCTCCTCATCACCTGAATCCTCTCGCTCTCCTCACTGACACACAGCCACCATTCTTTATTTATGATTTTTCCTTTTCCCTGTATTCTTATTTTTCTCTCATCTACTTGTGTAACTTATACTATGGCTACATTACTGCTACACTACTATTACTGTCTACTTTTACTGTATACTGTACTACTAATTTGCGCTCTTCTTTCCTGATCACCCAAGAGTGTTCTTCTCACTTTGGCCGAGTTTTTCGGTGAAGTGTTCAGATTCTCTTGATTATTTCACTATATTGTCACTATTCTTTTACCTTTACTTGATTGCTGACACTATGTAATATCCAAACTTACAAACAAACACACACCCGTGCATCTGCAACCACTCCTTTTATTGAGGTATTGATGGAAAACAATATTACTAATTATTGAAAACAAACAAAAATAAAGTATTTACTCGTAGACAAAAAGACAGTTTGAGTGCGTGATGAAGTCGAGCAGTTAATTGCAGTGAGAAAACTGGCTAATTAAATTATCACTACGTTTTGCTGGTGAAATGTTGTTAGCACCCACTTGAAATCAATTGCTCCAATATACAATTTTAAAGTTGACCATTAGCTCGTAATTAATTTATTTCCATCAGCATTTTATTGATCAATGCAACTGATTAAACAGATTAAGCATCAGTGATCTAAAGATCAATTGGATTGAACATTGCACCTTTGCGTTCATATAAAAGGCTGGGAAATGATGGGTATTGAATGCTATTGAAAACAGTTTCCTGCAAAACTACAAGTCATGTCTAAAATGAAACTTATATCGTCTCTCTGTGCTATTTTCTTCTTTCAGACTGTTCCGACTTTTGGAAAGTCAGTGCGATTCACCACAAACGTGACACTCGTTGAAGCAGGTAAACCGTTTGAAGCTACCTGCCTTCTAGAGAATTTTGCCACCAATGAGCTGCCAGGCACTCGGTTAAGAGTGTATCTTTTTATCACATTAAAAAATAAGTTTAACATTCAACTGTACGACGTTAATGGTTAGTAAAATATTTTTTAAAAACGACTTTTAACCATTTTAAAAAATACTAGTTGGACCATTCAACCGAGTTGCCAGCACAAAATTTTTTCCTTACAATGACCGCAGTCTAAGTATCAAGTCAATTGGCTTTAATGCAACAAGCTACAGATTTACTGTGATTCAGAAAAACATCAGCTCAGTGGAATACTACTGTAATGTGGATGATGGAGATAGTGAAAGTAAGATTTTCCAAATGTTTTTAAAGTTAAACTTTAAAAACCCTTTTGTTTTGTGTTTTTTTCAGAATTTGATTTGATTTCTAACAAAATCAATGTATCGGCAATTGACCACTTGCCAAGAGCAGAATTTAAAAACACAGTTTCTCAAATCGTCCTCAGTCAACCGTTTTCAGTTGCCTGTTATATTCGCGATTTCAACACTGAGGAGCGAAAAAACTACACTGTTACTTTTTACAGTCAAAAAGAAGGTGAACTCGCCTACTATGAAGTAAATGAAGGCTCGTCCGAAAGCTATCCATTGTTAAAAGTGAAACGGCACCACCGAGTGGTCGTCAGTAACGGTGCCGCCTATGCGTATCCTCGATTTAATTTGCAGATCACTGAAACAAAAGAGAGTAGACAGACTTACTGGTGTTCATTGCAGTACAAAAAAAGGACTTTTATTTCTAACAAATGGTCCATTGAACCACTGGTCAGATTCACCTCTACCAATACTAGCTCACATGAGTTCAAAGGAATTTGCACTGTGGATAACTTTAAAGCATTTAAAAAGAATTACGTTGTCAAATTTCTCAGCAGTGTTGGCCCAAAAGCGGAAAATTTGATTGCTGGATATGCTGTTAGATGTAAGTCAGTTTACAAGTCTCTGTTTTGGCTCATTGTTTTTAATTCCATTATGTAGATAACCAACCGAAGAAACTGATCATTGAAAGTTTGAGCCACTGGTTGTCTGTTGATCATGGCAAATTGGCCTATCCCACCTACGAAATAGTCGCCAAGGTGGATGATTACGTGATTACTTACAGTTTCTGGTGGTGTGTTCTGACTTTCGGAACTGACGGTCAGGAGGATTACAGAGAGTACAAGTCCAATATTGAGCAGTTTTCACTTTACTAATGATGATTAATAATAAAACAAAAAGGTTTTTTTTGAAACAATACTAAAAAATCAGATTGCTAATCAAATTGGATCCGTTGTTTGGTGTAAATAAATGAATTTTCTAGACTGTTAGATCTCTTTTATTGGGCTCACAACACTCGGGGATAGTGCCGTCCAGTCACCCTGAAACCAAACCTTGTGCAGCGAAGGTAGGAGGCAATGTCTGCCTCGCAGGTATTTGGGGTAGTGCCTTAAGCAAGCTGGCCCCGATGCCTGCCGTACCTGTTCCCATCCCTCCTTCCTAGGGCATCACAGCCTGCAGACGCTGCACCGAGCAACAATCCTTTGGGTGAGCTCAAAAAGGTCGAAAGAAGTTTCCTGTGGCATGTGGAACGACAGCTCAGTCTCCTCTCATCTTGCGTACTATTGGTTTTCTGAGACATGGATGAATTAGTCAGAAGCTTTTGCGACAGTCACTCTAGGGACTAATTCCCAGCGCAGGTAACCACCCATTTTTTAAAAAATTTTTTCAAAAAAAATGACAAATGAAACGAAAAATTTTGAACTGTTGTAATTTTACTGATTTTTTAAAATGAAAATGATCAAAAATTGAAATATCCTTTAGCTATTTTTCTGTTAAAGCAACCGTAATGATAGTAATCGATGGCTAGATAGATAGTATAATGCCCTCTCTTTTACCTCGACTGCTTCGTCGACACTTCAACTTTTTCCATTTCATCTCTAAATTGCCTACAATCATCATCATCATCAGGTGTTTATAAACATCTACTCTCATTTTTTCATCTTTGTACATTACACCGAAATAGCAGCACTTCTAGTTTTCATTTTACGTTGACTCTAGCAAAACAACATAAATTCTACAGCAGTTCAGTTGCGCCTTTTTTAAAATCTATTTTAGGCCATCAACGCAGTGACAATTTATCCTAGCACAGGTCATCTAATTAAGCGACGATTGTTTGCAGGTCGCTATCCGTTCGTTTCTGCTGCTTCTGCAGTGTGACAAGACAATGCTGAATTGTGACCGCCGGTGTGTGCTTGTGTGCATTATTTACCCGCGAGACACCGTGCGAAATGTAATATATAAACGGCCATGTTGTTGTGTGCACTAAAATAGAAAAGACGAATGGGCATAGACGCTACCATCATTTTGGGCGGATGGTGGATAATGACCAGTGTGCACGAATAGACGACTGATGCCTTCCCTTCTCACCACTCTCCAAACTGGTTTCCTTTATCTCCCACATTCAAACAGTGTATATAAGCCGGGTGAAGATGGACACCGTTTGTCCACTTCTGACTGAAACTCACTTTCTAGTTAAACTTTGCTGAACCTTTCTCTAAAAATTTTTCGACTTTGCGACATTTTTCAAAAAAAATTTCTAATTTTGAGTAAGTTTTAAGCTTTAGTTTAGTGTTGTTTAATCCAAAAACTATTTTTTTCTCAGACAAAACTTTGCTTTAACTTTTTCAATTTGAACATCAACTTGCAACTACTTGTTAAACTTTCAATTTTTAATTAATTAAACTGTAAGTGTAAAGTTTAAAATGTTTTTGATCATTTTACTGAAATTAATTTGTATTTATAGCATATCTGCCTAACTATCATTTTTCACCACCGCCTGGAGACTTACTGACAGACAAATTTGCCCATCTTTATTTTCACAAACTTGTTTTCTCCTGCGCATCAGTGCTTGTTTACCTCCATTACTGATCATCAGACAACCACTCAATCTACACGACAAATTGCTACTATCAATTTAAGCTCATTCACATAATACCACTTTTTCTATTCTTTTCCTAACTTTCTCTTTTTTCCCAACAAAAGTAGTCGTTCCCCACCTGTTTGCTTGCCACCTTCTTTCTTCTTCATCACACAAAGAAGGTGACAACATAACAGGTGGTCAATCTCTACTGCCGAGAATTAGCGGATTTCTATTTTTAGCCGCATCCCTATTCTCATGTCTCATTCTATCATCTCACAAAGCTTAGTAACTTGCTATTTGTAGCATCCATAATTAATTACACAGCACAACCATCTTCAGCAACAGTATCGCACACTTATTGCAACTAATGCAAATGCTTTCAGTGCCTTTCCATTTCTTTGCTGCAATTAGTGCACACTGGACAGCACTATTTTTAGACCACCTTGCACAGTGATAGGAGTTGAGAGTTAGATCAGTCAAATGGGTGAGTCACAAGTCACCAAAAAGGCAGTCACCTTCCTCTCGCCTTCACAACAGATGTGCCAGCCAGAGGGAGGGACAACTCATGCCATAATGACTTGTGATCTCCCATTTGATGATAATCTCCCAACACAAGAGAAAGGTGATCTCAGAAATAGTGCACCCCAATTGTGCAGTTGTAAAATAGTACCAAGTGCTATTTTCAATTTTTGTTCAAAGATGTTCTTTCACTCACCTACTTTTTCCATTTCTTTCTGTGATTTATTATTAATTCACTCGCATTTCATAATAAATAAAAACCTCTCATTGATTACAAATTTGGCAACGTTTATTGAAACTTTTTTTTGTGATAGCAAAAAATATCAGCTGTACTAGACCATTGGCCAGCTGATGTACGAGTTAATACCGCACATGTTTTTTCCGCGCTTCATCAGCACGTATCCGTCAATGCCCCACTTTTCACCTGAAAAGATTAACGATTGTTAAATTCTAACAAAGCCCATTGTAGAGAAGGAAACTCACCCCATGAGTTCTTGACAATCCAGGAGTCCTTTGTCCAGCCAACAATCACAACTGCAATAGGGTAAAGTATTTTTAGTGGTGATGTGAGGCTTTAAAAGATTAAAAGGGAAAAAGTACCTGCGTGATTGGTTTCCTTCTTGCACTTTGGCTCATCGTAGACGCCATTTTTGTAGTGCTGCAGTGTGTCACTGCCCTCACCGTCAATGGTAGTGTACACTGGGCCGTACTCCCGAACGGCGTACTGTATTTCCATGTCGTTCAACTCCTCAGGTTTGCCATCAATTGACACGTAGATGCCACGAACGCAAAAGTCCTTAATCTTGGCGCTTCGCTTCTTCTTCTCACATTTCACATTCTGTTGAAAGTCAAACTTTAGCAATTTGAAACACACATCAATCAGTTGATCACTGGCTGTACCTTGTGGTCATAAGGCAGAGTACTCTCTCCAGTGACGCCCTTGTTGGTGAGAATGTAAGTGTAGGCGTCAACGGCAGTTCCGCCTGATTCACAGCCCCTATCCACACCACAAGACAGAAGCTGCTGTTCACTGAGATCGAAATTGGCGTCAGTCGTTTTTCCCTTGATTAAGTAAGCACTCTCCAGGGCACTAATTGAGGCAAAGGTCCTGAAAGATGAAGATATTGTGGTCAGTTTAAACTAAAAGGCACAGTAGAGGCCACAAGCTTACCAACATGATCCACATTCCTTTTGCCATTTCACTGGGGTCACCTTGCCCTGTTTACGCCAGTCAAACTCGTCAGGCAGGGGGCTCTTGTTCTTGGGAATGCAAATCTAATAATAAAATATAAACAAACATTTAAACACTAATTGATTAATGGTAACGTAAGTTATACCGGGTCAATAGGCGCCTCATCGTCACGTTTTCGTCGGATGAGACGCAGTCCGTTGTTTTTTGGCCTGGTAGTTTCAGAGGGTGCCTCATCATCGTCGTCGTCCTTGTACTTGGGCTTGTTTGCCAAACGAGCTCGAATTGAAGCAGGAGATGCCCGAGCACCGGAAAGCTTTTTGTAAGAGTTTAGGCTCTAAATAAAAAGAATGATGAGTGAACAATGAAAAGTTGGCAATGAATGCTTACCCAGTCAGAGAACTGAGTAAGACCCAGTTGAAAGTTGTCACTGCTCAATCCAACACAAGCCAGAGTGTACTGGGCAATGCGCTGCATTGTCTTGAAGAGATTGGCAGTCTTCTCAGGCAACTTCTGCAAGTCAAAGTTCTCCGGAAAGTTGCGCTGTAGTTCAGTGAAAGGAAGTATTAAATTGTAAGTTTCTTGTAGGTTTTACTAGAACAGACAACTTACGTAGTACGCCTCAATGGCGCCCCAAAATTGATTGTCAAAGATGTTGAAGTTCTCCTTGCCGATTGAGGAGTTGTAGCAGCGGAACATCTCCGCCGGTGAGAGTCTATCAAAACCGGGCACTAGAGAGGCGACCTTCGCGTTGCCGTCAATGCCCATTGCGCTGAGGATGGTCGAGCGAGAGGCATCCAGGCCCTGGCTGATCTGCGCAAAAGACTGCGTCACTGGGGCAGCCACTCTGCCGGCTGTGTTCGACACCACATTTCCCGCAGAGCCGAGGATGTTGCCACCGCCAAACTGACTGCGGCCAGTGGCCAGTAGGGCAAAGCAGCACAGTGCACCAAAGAGATACTTTGCCATTTTGTTGGTAGCAAAGATTCAAGAGTTGCCTAGTGAGGAGAGGGGCTTTTACTTTTATACACGATCACCTCACTTGAATACTGCTACTATTCGATCGTTTGTAGGGTTGCAACCAGTGTTTTGCTTGACAACAGTCAGAAGGAAGGCGGTGTGTGAGTTAGGGGCAGAGATGAGGTGCGCTTAAGGTAAACAAAAGTGTGATGCCTCCTTTCTCGCTGCAAGCTAAATCGTCTCATCTTTTTCTGCCTGACAACAACAAAAAAGTTTTTTTCCACACCTCACTACAGAGTGAAGTTACCTTTCATTGAAATACAATATGCTGCTTTTGAATATGATTTACGCCGATTTCATTTTCTGTCTAGTAATTTAAGAATACTGATTACCATAATTTTGTTTATTGGATTCTTGTCAATAGAAACATATATTTTGAAAGTGCTCAAAATTAAGTTTATTTTTGTGCAAGCAAAGTAGCCTGTTCACCCTGTTGCCTATTGCCGGCCGGTCGACCTTCAAGGTGAACCTCTTTAGCGAATGCAAATGAATCACTTTGGCAGATGTTGCTTTCACTTGCACCCACTTCTCTTTTATCTTCTTCTTCATCAGTTGACCGTGAAAGTCGTTAATTGATTGATGTTAAAGTCAAAGTATTGATCGTTGCTTAATGGCCTGAGTGGTGGCAGTAAAAGAAACTGCAGGACAGATTTCGAAGATATTCGGCCGTTCTAGTCACGATTCTTCTGCAGACAACAATACCAAATAGTGCAGCACAAAAAAACAGGTTAGATTTATTATCGTGCTTTTAGAAGTGTGATTTTCTATACATCCTTTTGACTACATCTTTTAATTGGCAGTAATAAAATGAGTTTAATCTTTTATTTTATTTTTCACTGAACACTGATTTAAATCCAATGTTGCAGCACATGAATGGAAAAGGGGAAATGATAGTACATTGCAACTAATTAGCAATTCACATCTTTTTTATGTTTTCATAAAGCTATCTGTGTTTGCAGGCAAATGGTTCGAGATAATTTTGACGTAAATGCTCTTTTTATCTGACATCTTTCAAACGCACGTGATTTACTGTTTTAAATTGATCAAATGTTATTTTCCGTTCAGTTGATTAAACAGAATGATCTATCAACTAAAAACTTCTTAAAGTTCTTGATTTTTTTGCAAAACTTATTCAGTTTTTTCCGTACAAAGTAGTCATGGTTGATCAAATACTTTATTTGATTTTTGTAAGTTTTTTAATTTCAAGAACATGATTAGTGATACACAATAAAAAATTACTTTAAACTTCAAGGTACTGATTTTCGGTTTTTGTTGTACCAAAGATTTTGTTGCAAAACGCTAATTTTCTATTATCAAACTTAAAATTAGTCACGGTTGTGTCCTAAAATTTAATCACCATCTATGCCTAACTCTTTGCGGCGGTCTATTATCAATTTTTGATAAGATAACTCTCTATCGACTCGTTTATAAGAACCTTTAAAAAGAACAAAACAACTTTTGTTTTTGTGTTGTAGCACACACTGAAAAAATGATCCTTATAACCACTACTGTTTTTCTTTTAGCCTTTCTGGGCCCTGTCATTTCAGTTTCTGTCAACTTAGCGGTGTACTATGAGTCCCGCTGTACAGACAGTCGAAAGTTTTTTCTCAACCAACTGTCACCGACCCTGAACCAGCTGAAGTCATCCATCAACTTGGAGCTAGTGCCCTTTGGCAACGAGAAAGTAACAACGAGCAGCAACTCCTATCACTACTCTTGTCAGCATGGTCCCACTGAATGCTGGGGCAATCGAGTGGAGGCGTGCGTTCTGGAGCAGTACGGTTCAGTGCAAACTGCCTATGAGTACTCCAAATGCATGTTTGAGCCGGAAAACTTTAAGGACGTAGAGGCTCACGCCAGACCGTGCGCTCAAAGATTAAACCTCAACTGGGATCGCATTACGACTTGCGTGAACGGCCCAGAGAGTGATCGGCTGATGGAGCGGTTTTGGAAGCAAACTGATGGCCTACAGCCCAAGCACACCTTCATTCCGTGGATTACAGTTAACGGGCAGGGATCGGCCACTATTGAGCAGCAGTCTCTGGCAAACTTGACCAACTTTCTCTGCTCAAATTACCTCCCGGGAACAGCAGAATGCGGAAATACTGGCAACAGCGACTACTACAGTAGCCGCTATTTGCCACCTAACTTCAACCGCTACAATTTAAACCCGTTCAATGCTTGGGGATGAAATGTCAGTGTTTATGTTCAATAAATTGTCGTGTTCGGTACAAAAAATATAAAAGTGACCTTGACCATTAAGAGATAATAGTATGTTGTGCCAGTAGAGTAGTGGTTAACTCGTTTGCTTTACAAACAAAAATTGTTTAAATTCGCAAAAGATCCCAAGATCAAGACTTGGCTGGCACCAAAACCATACAAAACTTTTTCTTTTTTTAACCCTTCAGTTATTCCTTCTTCTTTCCTGTTCCACCGTACTTTGAGTATTGCAGCCGCTTGTAGATTAGAAACAGACCACCAGTGACTAAATTACCAATAAAAAGATAAATTATTTTTCAAAAACATTCAATTTCGAAAACTTACCAGTAATAATCACACTGTAGATGACTAGCCTAAGATAGAAACTGTGCGTCACAATGGCCTGGTACACTAGAAGGTACACGAGTGACGCTGAGAAGACAAAGTTGAGGAGGACAAACCGAAGGGCTTTGAAAATTGAAGGTCGCTTCACCTTCATGATGGCTGTTTTTGGAAATGAGTCCTCCTTTAGGTGCTGATCCATAAGTTTGTCCATCTTTTCAAATACGGTGTAGAGGAAGGCAGAGTGCTCAGCCTCGGTGGCCTCTGCTCCAGGGAGCCTGCTGGTGTCGATCTTCTCAATGTAGCAGTCAACGTTGAATGGTTTGCCGCGAATCAATGACTTTAGCGTTGGCATGAAGGTTTCCTCACCTGGCGGCTTTGTGCGTGCAATCAGCTGACAGTGATAAACACCAAAGTTGTTTGCGTCTATTAAAAAGTACAGTTAGTTTTTGGATTTTATTAAATTCTAAAAACTTACGATTCTTTTGCAAGTGTCCAAGCGTAGCGGCAAAACCTTTGACCCTAGGCAGTAAGTGGTATTTAAGGTTGATCGGAATCTTTCGCTCTTCGACAAACTTCATAGCAGCTTGGTATTTTTCACTTGTAAATCTAGTTCCCTCTGGAAGCAGAAGTAAAGTGATTGGAAATGGATGTGCCACCAGTTGGTCGATTGCCGGTCCAATGCGTTTCTCATCTTCCTTCCAGTTGCGTTGCAGAAAGATAAACTCTCCAAAGAAGAAGGACCACCCAAAGATGGGCATTCGTTTCAGTTCTACTTTGGTGAAAGCCTTTCCAGCGCCCATTGTATTGGTCATCTCACCAAACAGCCAATAAAGCATCAGGTCAATCTAATTGAAAACAATTAGTTTAGAAAAAAAATTCAGTGAATACGATCAAGACAATCTCGTTAGTTTTACCTGATAACGATGGTTGCCGATCACCAGAGAGTGCTCGCGCCCAAAACTGTCAGCCGTTTCCTGGTCGGCAAAGAAAAGCCGGTACCTGGCGCCGCACCACCATTCAGAGATTATGGTCACCTCTGCAAAAAAGGTATTTCAGCATTCAGTAAGTATTAAATAAATTTACACTTACGTGAGAGAATAATATCTTGCAGGTATGAGTTGACCTTCCTTCGAAAGTCCTGGCAGTTGTAGAGCTTCCCAAAGAAAAGGTAGTTAAGTGCTTGGAGAAGGTTAATGAAAAGTGAGGTGATAAAGTAGAGAAAGCCGGCCACTGCGACGACGGTCACCTTGGCCGCCTTCAGTGCAATGGAGCTTTTGCTGGGCATGATTTAGTTTCAATTCAAAGTGAATGAAACACAGTGCTCAAAGAGCTGAGAAAGAATCGGGGAAAAAATTGCGCTATGTTTTGATGCTAACGAAGTGTACCGGTGAATGGATCATAAACACAAACATTAGTAGGCACAGCAAAAGTGTACTCGCTACAACCACCGTCATGCAGTCGTCTTTCGTGCAGCCTTGAATCGAAGCTGAGAATAAGTGATTAGATTGTGTGCAGCAGTGTTTGTGTGAATGTGTGATTGTGCGTTCTCCATCAATGGCCGTACATTGTGCTACTTCAATAGATTGTGATTGGATGATTACCAGAGTAGTACTACTTTCTCATGAAATAGTTAACTGCAGTATCAACTGATGTACTTGGCTACTTGTTTTGAACAACAGTTTTTTATTAGTGATAGACAGATAAATCAGATTGTTACACAATTTACTGTAAATGGGTCAGTTTTCAGACCAGTTTCAAAAGGAGTCTTTCTCGTCTTTCTCCGGCTCATTAGCAGGTTCATCTGTATCAGCCAATTCTTTTTTTCCCTCTTCTTCAACTGCATCAGAGGGTGCACTCTCTTTTTCATCAGCACCCTCAATGGCTAGCTCAATGCTGTTCTCGTCGACAATAGGAGCATTTTGATTAGTTTCCTCAGCAGTGCCCTCTTCTACTTTATTTCCTGATTCTTCATCTGTATTTGGAACATCATTTTGTTGTTCCTCAACTTTAGCTTTTTCTTCACCTTGAGTTTCTTTTTCTGTTACCATATTAGAATCAGTAGTTTTTTCTGTTTGGTCTTTCTCCACAAAAGTTCCCTCACTAATGAAGTGATCAATTTTTTGTCTGAGCGTAATCTCCTCATACTCTGCATTGTACAAATCAGGCACTCCAATCGCAATCATCACCTCGACGGTGTACAAGCCCGTTTCATCAGTCAGTCCAATGGCATTCTTTGCCTTTTCAACATCAAATCCATTGATGGCATGCAGAACTAGAGATCTGCTGCTGCCTTCTAAAACCATAGCCATCCAAGCAGTACCGGCCTCAAAATGATGCGACTTTGCAGACTCCTCTTCATTTGAGTTCGAGTTCAGCATTGTTGATTTGGATATGACCACCACTAGTACTGAGGCATCTCGAGCCCAACGCTGATTCTCCTCAGTGAGAGCCTCAAAAAAGGCGTCCCAGTACTCGGTTTCCCGTTTGGCGTAGATAAATCGCCAGGTCTGCCCAAAATGAGAAGACGAGAAGTGACTAGCTTCAAACAAAACTATCAACTGATCATCAGAGAGTGGTTGACCGGTCATTGAACGAAGTGAGCGACGGCTCAGTATCAACGGATGAATTGGGTTTGAGGGAATTTGAGTCTGAAAGAAAAGGGCATTAATAAAACTGGCAAATTTTAAAAGTATTTTGTACCTTGAGAACGTTTTCATCGTACTTGTAGAGGACCTTTTCGTTGTCGTCGCCATTTTCAGTTGCCATTGTTTAGCTCTTTTGCGGTAATTGCTAGGTCAAATATTTGATCTTCGTTTCTCTCGGGTGCCGCTTTTTCTCGACTGGAATTCTAGAAAACTACAATTGTGCCACTGCCGTTGGATATTACTGGATAGATACCTGTACAGGGGAAGGAAAAATGACAATACGAAAGTAACACCGAAGAAGCATGTCGATTTATCAAAGAGACATTTCATTAAGTTTTACTGTCTGTGACCGGTACTAGCTGGAAACAGTACTTTTACATTTTTAATTTTTCAGCGACAACGCGGCGTTCTCAGACATAAAGCGATCGATTTTTATTGACGTGAACTTTTACATTAAAGTATTCAAAAGTAGCATAAAAACCAGAAAAGTCAGAGTTACTATAGAAAGAATTGGCATTTACTCAAACATTGTAAAGTACGAATAAAAAGTGCATCCAAAAAACGGTAATAGGTGATGCTAAAATGCTTACCATTACGCAATGCACCAGACAGTGGAGATTGCACTTGCAGTGCAAAAACAGCCACATCTAAATATACATAGGCTGCACTGTTGAAGGCCACTCTGCCTCTGCTGTGCTTCATTGTAGTGTGGTGTCGTCATGTGGGCAGGCATATTATCTGCCGTTCTCTCCACTTACTCTCCTTCCCTCAACCAGACATTGATCTCTTTCACTGCAGTGGCTAACTATCCTGACGCAATGATTTGAAAATTGTGCACTTTTGGGTATATAAAGTGACGTGTCGAGCCTTGAGAGAGACATCCCTAGCCAAATTTGGTTAACACTTTAACATTGAAAATCTCTCTCTGCAAAACACACACAGCACTTCAAATCAATCTTCCACAATGGGTCATCCATATGGAGCGTTTCGCTTTATCTTTGGCTTCGCAGCGATTGGCGCCGGTGTCTACTTTTGGAAGCACGCCTTTGGCTGCTGTTGCCACCAGTGTCACCACCACCATCGAGGTCATCATGGAAATGGTCACCACCACTGGGGCTGGAATCGACTGAGCGAAGAGGACAAGAGCCGCTTCTCACCATGCTGCTACGGCAATAAAGAGCAGTCTAAGCAATCAGAAGCCGGACCCTCTAAAACTTCTGAAAAGATGGAGTAACTTTGATATTTGTTTCATTTTCTACTGTAACTACCGTTTCTTACTCTACACTTTTTCCTTAATTCTTTCTTTTACTGTACCTTTTTATGTAATATATTTTAATCGGAAAATAAATATTTAGTTGAACTTAAAAATGATTGACTTGTAGCAGCCAAGTTCTTAGAACTTTGTCGACACTTGATAAGCGGCTGCTTTGCCTTATTGCAACTCATTCTATCTAGTGGTGTACTTAGCAACTCTTCTGTGATTAAACCTAAAACCTCACACAGTGTTCTCTTACTTGACACTCCGCTAAGACACTACATTGGTGAGCCGGACTAACTAGTCAATCCTCCTGATGGACATCAACCCAGATGATCTGGTGGTCTACGACGATGACGGAAAGTTAACTGGAGACTCCGTCAAGCAGCTGTCTGATTACCGCTGGCAGCTCCGGTCCTTGATCGAAGGGATGGAGCGAACAACTTACTTCGGCCAGGCGCCTCCAGTGGACCAATTCACTTCAGTGAGCACCAAGTTGGTCGAAGTGGACCGTCTGCTCTTTTCCAAGAGCGGAAAAGAGCGCAAAGAGTGCGAGCGCTATGGCGTCAGGATCAAAGTCATATTCGACTACCTGCAGTCCAAGTCAGCGGCGCCACCTCAACCACTGCTGGCACCAGCTACGCCCGCAATGCCTCAGATGAATCTGCCCACCTTCTGGACTGATCACCCCACCAGCTGGTTTACGACAGTCGAGGGTGAGTTTGAAACTCACGGAGTGGTCGATGAAAAGGTGAGGCTGCTCAAAGCAATGTGCAAACTGCCTCCGGAGGTCGCTTCAAAAGTGGGCCACGTCACTGCAAGACCGTTCCAGTCAGGCGACTACGCCCTGTTCAAGGCGGCCCTGCTGAACATCTATCTGAAGCCGGTGCGCAAACGTCTGCACGATTTCTTGGCGTTGGTGTCGGCCCGGGACATGAAGCCAACGCTTCTGCTCATCGAGATGCGCCGCCTGTCTGAAGCAGCGAGCGCCAATGACCGCATCGATTTCTCAGACAGGATGTGGAAACTTCTGTTTGTGGAGGCTCTGCCAGTGGCGATCCAAGCCAGTGTCGACTCTTTGCCTGCTGCTATGACTCTCGACGAGCTGGCAATCGAGGCCGACAAGTTCTACGACNGCCATCAACGAGCAGTCAGAAGGGACAACTCCAATCGGCGGCGAGAGCATCAGTGCCATCGCCAAGAAAAGCCGAGGCCAGTGGAAGCCCAGCAATAGCAGCAACAAAATCGGCCAGGGTGGTGTCTGCAACAACCACCAGGTCTACGGTCGCAGTACCAAGCATTGTGCTGGACCAAAGTGCAAGTACTTCGTGCCAAAAAAACGGCAACTAGGTGCACTGTCGGCGGCCAGTGCACCCTCATCGACCTCATCGGACCGCCTTTTTGTGCGTGACCGTCAGTCAGGTGTCCACTTCCTGATTGACACGGGCTCTGACGTTTCTGTCATCCCCAAAGAGCAGTCTTGTGATCTGCCTCCTACTTCTACTTTGATGGC